GTCTGTCTGTCTGTGTGAGGAAGCTGTCTGTCTGTCTGTCTGTGTGTGGAGGAAGCTGTCTGTCGTCTGTGTGAGGAAGCTGTCTGTCTCTATCTGTGTGAGGAAGCTGTCTGTCTGTCTATCTGTGAGGAAGCTGTCTGTCTGTCTGTGTGAGGAAGCTGTCTGTCTGTCTGTCTGTGTGGAAGCTGTCTGTCTGTGTGTGAGGAAGCTGTCTGTCTGTGTGAGGAAGCTGTCTGTCTGTGTGAGGAAGCTGTCTGTCTGTGTGAGGAAGCTGTCTGTCTGTCTGTCTCTGTGGAGGAAGCTGTCTGTCTGTGTGAGGGAGCTGTCTGTCTGTCTGTCTGTGTGAGGAAGCTGTCTGTCTGTCTGTGTGAGGAAGCTGTCTGTCTGTCTGGAGGAAGCTGTCTGTCTGTCTGTGTGAGGAAGCTGTCTGTCTGTCTGTGTGAGGAAGCTGTCTGTCTGTCTGTGTGAGGAAGCTGTTTGTCTGTGTGTGTGAGGAAGCTGTCTGTCTGTCTGTGTGTGAGGAAGCTGTCTGTCTGTCTGTGTGAGGAAGCTGTCTGTCGTCTGTGTGAGGAAGCTGTCTGTCTGTCTGTGTGAGGAAGCTGTCTGTCTGTCTGTGTGAGGAAGCTGTCTGTCTGTGTGTGTGAGGAAGCTGTCTGTCTGTCTGTGTGAGGAAGCTGTCTGTCTGTCTGTGTGAGGAAGCTGTCTGTCTGTCTGTGGAGGAAGCTGTCTGTCTGTCTGTGTGTGAGGAAGCTGTCTGTCTGTGTGTGTGAGGGAAGCTGTCTGTCTGTCTGTGTGAGGAAGCTGTCTGTCTGTCTGTGTGAGGAAGGTCTGTCTGTCTGTGTGAGGAAGCTGTCTGTCTGTCTGTGTGAGGGAAGCTGTCTGTCTGTCTGTGTGGAGGAAGCTGTCTGTCTGTGTGTGTGGGAAGCTGTCTGTCTGTCTGTGTGAGGAAGCTGTCTGTCTGTCTGTGAGGAAGCTGTCTGTCTGTCTGTGTGAGGAAGCTGTCTGTCTGTCTGTGTGAGGAAGCTGTCTGTCTGTCTGTGTGAGGAAGCTGTCTGTCTGTGTGTGTGAGGAAGCTGTCTGTCTGTCTGTGTGAGGAAGCTGTCTGTCTGTCTGTGTGAGGAAGCTGTCTGTCTCTATCTGTGTGAGGAAGCTGTCTGTCTGTCTGTGTGAGGAAGCTGTCTGTCTGTCTGTGTAAAGCTGTCTGTCTGTCTGTGTGAGGAAGCTGTCTGTCTGTGTGTCTGTGTGAGGAAGCTGTCTGTCTGTCTGTGTGAGGAAGCTGTCTGTCTGTCTGTGTGAGGGAAGCTGTCTGTGTGTCTGTGTGAGGAAGCTGTCTGTCTGTCTGTGTGAGGAAGCTGTCTGTCTGTCTGTGTGAGGAAGCTGTCTGTCTGTGGGGCTGTCTGTCTGTCTGCTGTCTGTGTCTGTGTGGTGGGCTGTCTGTCTGTGTGAGGAAGCTGTCTGTCTGTGTGGAGGCTGTCTGTCTGTCTGTCTGTCTGTGTCTGTGTGGGAAGCTGTCTGTCTGTCTGTCTGTCTGTAAATGCAGTAGATTATATAACTAACATTAAATAGCAGAATATTTAGCCCAGTAACACTCGTAGATAAGTTATGTAACACAAGTAACACTCTGAATAAGTTATGTAACACAAGTAACACTCGTAGATAAGTTATGTAACACAAGTAACACTCTAGATAAGTTATGTAACACAATAACACTCGTAGATAAGTTATAACACAAGTAACACTCGTAGATAAGTTATGTAAACAAGTAACACTCTTAGATAAGTTATGTAACACAAGTAACACTCGTAGATAAGTTATGTAACACAAGTAACACTCGTAGATAAGTTATGTAACACAAGTAACACTCGTAGATAAGTTATGTAACACAAGTAACACTCGTAGATAAGTTATGTAACACAAGTAACACTCGTAGATAAGTTATGTAACACAAGTAACACCTCGTAGATAAGTTATGTAACACAAGTAACACTCGTAGATAAGTTATGTAACACAAGTAACACTCGTAGATAAGTTATGTAACACAAGTAACACCGTAGATAAGTTATGTAACACAAGTAACACTCGTTTTATGTAACAAGTAACACTCGTAGATAAGTTATGTAACACAAGTAACACTCGTAGATAAGTTATGTAACACAAGTAACACTCGTAGATAAGTTATGTAACAGTAACACTCGTAGATAAGTTATGTAACACAAGTAACACTCGTTGATAAGTTATGTAACACAAGTAACACTCGTAGATAAGTTATGTAACACAAGTAACACCGTAGATAAGTTATGTAACACAAGTAACACTGAGATAAGTTATGTAACACAAAACACTCGTAGATAAGTTATGTAACACAAGTAACACTCGTAGATAGTTATGTAACACAAGTAACACTCGTAGATAAGTTATGTAACACAAGTAACACTTGTAGATAAGTTATAACACAAGTAACACTCGTAGATAAGTTATGTAACACAAGTAACTTACAGATAAGTTATGTAACACAAGTAACACTCGTAGATAAGTTATGTAACACAAGTAACCTGTGATAATTATGTACAAGTAACACTCGTAGATAAGTTATGTAACACAAGTAACACTCATAGATAAGTTATAACACAAGTAACACTCGTAGATAAGTTATGTAACACAAGTAACACTCGTAGATAAGTTATGTAACACAAGTAACACTCGTAGATAAGTTATGTAACACAAGTAACACTCGTAGATAAGTTATGTAACACAAGTAACACTCGTAGATAAGTTATGTAACACAAGTAACACTCGTAGATAAGTTATGTAACAAGTAACACTCGTAGATAAGTTATGTAACACAAGTAACACTCGTAGATTAGTTATGTAACAAGTAACACTCGTAGATAAGTTAAGTAACACAAGTAACACTCGTAGATAAGTTATGTAACACAAGTAACACTCGTAGTTATGTTATGTAACACAAGCAACACTCGTAGATAAGTTAAGTAACACAAGTAACACTCGTAGATAAGTTATGTAACACAAGTAACACTCGTAGTTATGTTATGTAACACAAGTAACACTCGTAGATAAGGTATGTAACACAAGTAACACTCGTAGTTATGTTATGTAATACAAGTAACATGTAAATAAGTTAAGTAACACAAGTAACACTCGTAGATAAGTTATGTAACACAAGTAACACACGTAGATAAGTTATGTAACACAAGTAACATTCGTAGATAAGTTATGTTACACAAGTAACACTCGTAGTTATGTTATGTAACACAAAGTAACACTCGTAGATATATTTAAGTATCACAAGTAACACTCGTAGATAAGTTATATACAAAGTAACACTCGTAGTTATGTTATGTAACACAGTAACACTCGTAATAGTAAGTAACACAAGTAACACTCGTAGATAAGTTATGTAACACAAGTAACACTCGTAGATAAGTTATGTAACACAAGTAACACTCGCAGTTATGTTATGTAACACAAGTAACACTCGTAGATAAGTTAAGTAACACAAGTAACACTCGTAGATAAGTTATGTAACACAAGTAACACTCGTAGTTATGTTATGTAACACAAGTAACACTCGTAGATAAGTTATGTAACACAAGTAACACTCGTAGATAAGTTATGTAACACAAGTAACACTCGTAGTTGTATGTAACACAAGTAACACTCGTAGATAAGGTATGTAACACAACTAACACTCGTAGATAAGTTAAGTAACACAAGTAACACTCGTAGATAAGTTATGTAACACAAGTAACACTCGTAGATAAGTTATATAACACAAGTAACTTGCTCGTAGATAGGATTATGTAACACAAGTAACACTCGTAGATAAGTTATGCTTAACACAAAGTAACACTCGTTGATAGGTTATGTAACACAGTAACACTCCGTAAGATAAGTTATGTTACACAAAGTAACCTCATAGTTATGTTATGTAACACAAGTAACACTCGTAGATAAGTTAAGTATCACAAGTAACACTCGTAGATAAGTTATGTAACACAAGTAACACTCGTAGTTATGTTATGTAACACAAGTAACACTCGTAGATAAGTTAAGTAACACAAGTAACACTCGTAGATAAGTTATGTAACACAAGTAACACTCGTAGATAAGTTATGTAACACAAGTAACACTCGCAGTTATGTTATGTAACACAAGTAACACTCGTAGATAAGTTAAGTAACACAAGTAACACTCGTAGATAAGTTATGTAACACAAGTAACACTCGTAGTTATATTATGTAACACAAGTAACACTCGTAGATAAGTTATGTAACACAAGTAACACTCGTAGATAAGTTATGTAACACAAGTAACACTCGTAGTTATGTTATGTAACACAAGTAACACTCGTAGATAAGGTATGTAACACAACTAACACTCGTAGATAAGTTATGTAACACAAGTAACTCGTAAATAAGTTATGTAACACAAGTAACACTCGTAGATAAGTTATGTAACACAAGTAACACTCGTAGATAAGTTATGTAACACAAGTAACACTCGTTGATAAGTTATGTAACACAAGTAACACTCGTTGATAAGTTATGTAACACGAGTAACACTCGTTGATAAGTTATGTAACACAAGTAACACTCGTTGATAAGTTATGTAACACAAGTAACACTCGTTGATAAGTTATGTAACACAAGTAACACTCGTTGATAAGTTATGTAACACAAGTAACACTCGTTGATAAGTTATGTAACACAAGTAACACTCGTTGATAAGTTATGTAACACAAGTAACACTCGTTGATAAGTTATGTAACACAAGTAACACTCGTAGATCAGTTAAGTAACACAAGTAACACAAGTAACTCTTAATTTAATCAACAGACGTGGCTCTATATCAACAAGCGATACAAACACTGAGCACCATATCGACGACTTTAGCTAAGTTACTGGATATTGTTGCAACGACTACTGCACCTGTTACAATGACTACTATACCTGTTACAATGACTACTACACCTGTTGTAGCGACTACTGCACCTGTTACAACGACTACTACACCTGGTACAATGACTACTGCACCTGGTACACCGACTACTACACCTGGTACACCCACTACTGCACCTGGTACACCGACTACTACACCTGGTACAATGACTACTGCACCTGGTACACCCACTACTGCACCTGGTACACCGACTACTACACCTGGTACAATGACTACTGCACCTGGTACACCGACTACTACACCTGTTGCACCGACTACTGCACCTGGTACAATGACTACTGCACCTGGTACACCCACTACTGCACCTGGTACACCGACTACTACACCTGGTACAACGACTACTGCACCTGGTACAACGACTACTGCACCTGGTACACCGACTACTACACTTGTTACAACGACTATTGCACCTGGTACACCGACTACTACACCTGTTACAACGACTATTGCACCTGGTACACCGACTACTACACCTGTTACAACGACTACTACACCTGTTACAACGACTACTACACCTGTTACAACGACTACTACACCTGTTACAACGACTACTACACCTGGTACAACGACTACTACACCTGTTACAACGACTACTACACCTGTTACAACGACTACTACACCTGTTACAACGACTACTACACCTGTTACAACGACTACTACACCTGTTACAACGACTACTACACCTGTTACAACGACTACTACACCTGTTACAACGACTACTACACCTGTTACAACGAGTGCTGATTCATCCGTTGCTTCGACTACTGTTTCACCTGACAATCGGAAAAAACGTTCAGTAAACTACCTGTATGAGAATAACGATAACCCTAAAGACATCTGTACTCCTCAAGAAGGCGCTAACGAAGAGAAGGATCTATGTACACAACTCAAACAAATCCTACAGGATATCGACAACACCACACAGGATATCCAAGACGGAAGGATAACAACAGAAACAGTGGGTAAACTCACAATACAATCAAACGAATTGGAAAATATTGTGGATAATGTTAAACAAAATCCGGATAAGATAATACTGAACAATGAAGCTTTAAGTCAACAGGTTAAAGCTCTCGATGAGGTGAGTGAAGTTTGAGACAAGTTAAGTAGAGTTTGAGACAAGTTAAGTAAAGTTTGAGACAAGTGAAGTAGAGTTTGAGACAAGTTAAGTAGAGTTTGAGACAAGTTAAGTAGAGTTTGAGACAAGTTAAGTAAAGTTTGAGACAAGTTAAGTAGAGTTTGAGACAAGTTAAGTAGAGTTTGAGACAAGTTAAGTAAAGTTTGAGACAAGTTAAGTAGAGTTTGAGACAAGTTAAGTAAAGTTTGAGACAAGTTAAGTAAAGTTTGAGACAAGTTAAGTAGAGTTTGAGACAAGTTAAGTAGAGTTTGAGACAAGTTAAGTAAAGTTTGAGACAAGTTAAGTAAAGTTTGAGACAAGTTAAGTAGAGTTTGAGACAAGTTAAGTAGAGTTTGAGACAAGTTAAGTAAAGTTTGAGACAAGTTAAGTAAAGTTTGAGACAAGTTAAGTAGAGTTTGAGACAAGTTAAGTAAAGTTTGAGACAAGTTAAGTAAAGTTTGAGACAAGTTAAGTAGAGTTTGAGACGTTAAAAGTTTGAGACAAGTTAAGTAAAGTTTGAGACAAGTTAAGTAAAGTTTGAGACAAGTTAAGTAAAGTTTGAGACAAGTTAAGTAAAGTTTGAGACAAGTTAAGTAAAAGTTTGAGACGAGTTAAGTAAAGTTTGAGACAAGTTAAAAAGTTTTGAGACAAGTTAAAAAGTTTGAGACAAGTTAAAAGTTTACAGTGAAGTAAAGTTTGAGACAAGTTAAGAAAGTTTGAGACAAGTTAAGTAAAGTTTGAGACGAGTTAGTAAAGTTTGAGACAAGTAGTAAAGTTTGAGACAAGTTAAAAAGTTTGAGACGAGTTAAGTAGAGTTTGAGACGAGTTAAGTAAAGTTTGAGACAAGTTAAGTAGAGTTTGCAAGTTAAGTAAAGTTTGAGACAAGTGAAGTAGAGTTTGAGACAAGTTAAGTAGAGTTTGAGACAAGTTGATAGAGTTTGAGACAAGTTAAGTAGAGTTTGAGACAAGTTAAGTAAAGTTTGAGACAAGTTAAAAAGTTTGAGACAAGTTAAGTAGAGTTTGAGACAAGTTAAAAGATTGAGACAAGTTAAGTAGAGTTTGAGACAAGTTAAATAGAGTTTGAGACAAGTTAAGTAAAGTTTGAGACGTTAACAAAGTTTGAGACAAGTAGAGTTTGAGACAAGTTAAGTAGTTTGAGACGTTAAGCAAAGTGAGACAAGTTAGAAAGTTTGAGACAAGTTAAGTAGAGTTTGAGACAAGTTAAGTAAAGTTTGAGACAAGTGAAGTAGAGTTTGAGACAAGTTAAGTAGAGTTTGAGACAAGTTAAGTAGAGTTTGAGACAAGTTAAGTAAAGTTTGAGACAAGTTAAGTAGAGTTTGAGACAAGTTAAGTAAAGTTTGAGACAAGTTAAGTAGAGTTTGAGACAAGTTAAGTAAAGTTTGAGACAAGTTAAGTAGAGTTTGAGACAAGTTAAGTAAAGTTTGAGACAAGTTAAGTAAAGTTTGAGACAAGTTAAGTAGAGTTTGAGACAAGTTAAGTAAAGTTTGAGACAAGTGAAGTAGAGTTTGAGACAAGTTAAGTAAAGTTTGAGACAAGTTAAGTAAAGTTTGAGACGAGTTAAGTAGAGTTTGAGACAAGTTAAGTAAAGTTTGAGACAAGTTAAGAAGAGTTTGAGACAAGTTAAGTAAAGTTTGAGACAAGTTAAGTAAAGTTTGAGACAAGTTAAGTAGAGTTTGAGACAGGATGCAAAGGCTGAGATTTGGAGACAAGTTAAAGTTTGAGACAAGAGTTAAGTAAAGTTTGGAACAGACAAACAAGTAAAGTTTGGAGACAAGTTAGAAGTAGAGGTTTGAGGACGAGTTAGAAGTAGAGTTTGAGACAGTTAAGTAGAGTTTGGGACAAGAGTTAAGGAAGTGGGTTTGAGACAAGTTAAGTAAAGTTTGAGACAAGTTAAGTAAAGTTTGAGACAAGTTAAGTAAAGTTTGAGACAAGTTAAGTAGAGTTTGAGACAAGTTAAGTAGAGTTTGAGACAAGTTAAGTAAAGTTTGAGACAAGTTAAGTAAAGTTTGAGACAAGTTAAGTAGAGTTTGAGACAAGTTAAGTAGAGTTTGAGACAAGTTAAGTAAAGTTTGAGACAAGTTAAGTAGAGTTTGAGACAAGTTATGGAGCAGGTTAGGAGGGATCAAACTCTCCAACCTAACCTTACCTAACCTAACCTAACCTAACCTAACCTAACCAAACCTAACCAAATCTAACCAAATCCAGGATGTCATAGCAACTGAGAGAAAGGTCCAACAAGACCTAGATGACCTGACCAAGGCTGACCCGACCCTAGTTATCGTGATGGGCGTGATGGGCGGCCTGGTCTTGCTGGGTATGGTAGCTATGGGCGGCTTCATCGTCTGTAAGAAATCGCAGATGACCATAACAGCTAACTACCATAAGGTGAGGAGAGAGAGAGAGAGAGAGAGAGAGTAAATGAAAGCTAGTTTTACGGTAATTCAGTAATGATATGTATGTATGTATGTATGTATGTATGCGTGTATGTATGTATGTATGTATGCGTGTATGTATGTATGTATGCGTGTATGTATGTATGAATGTATGTATGTATGTATGTATGCGTGTATGTATGTATGTATGTATGCGTGTATGTATGTATGTATGTATGTATGCGTGTATGTATGTATGTATGTATGCGTGTATGTATGTATGTATGCGTGTATGTATGTATGAATGTATGTATGTATGTATGTATGCGTGTATGTATGTGTATGTGTATGCGTTGTATTTATGTATGTATATGTATGTATGTATGTATGTATGAATGTATGTATGTATGTATGTATGCGTGTATGTATGTATGTATGTATGTATGCGTGTATTTATGTATGTATGTATGTATGTATGTATGTATGTATGTATGTATGTACGTTTGTATGTATGTATGTATGTATGTATGTATGTATGTATGTATGTATGTATGTATGTATGTATGTATGTATGTATGTATTGTGTATGTATGTATGTATGTATGTATGTATGTATGTATGTATGTATGTATGTATGTATGTATGTATGTATGTATGTATGTATGTATGTATGTATGTATGTATATGTATGTGTATGTATGTATATGAATATATATGAATGTATGTATGTATGCGTGTATGTATGTATGTATGTATGTATGTATGCGTGTATTTATGTATGTATGTGTATGTATGTATGTATGTATATGTATGTATGTACGTTTGTATGTATGTATGTATGTAGGTATGTGTGTATTTATGCATGTATGTATGTATGTATGTATGTATGTATGCGTGTATGAATGTATGTATGTATGTATGTATGCGTGTTATGTATGTATGTATGTATAGCGTGTTATGTATGTATGTATGTATGTATGTATGTATGTATGTATGTATGTATGTATGTACGTTTGTATGTATGTATGTATGTAGGTATGCGTGTATTTATGCATGTATGTATGTATGTATGTATTTATGCATGTATGTATGTATGTATGTATGTATGCAAAGTATGTATGTATGTATGTATGTATGTATGTATGCATGTGCGGATGTATGTATGTATGTATGTATGTATGTATTTATGTATGTATGTATAAATAATAATAATAATAATAATGATAATAATTAACGGTTTATTGAAAAGTTCTGCAGCCGAGGCTGAAAATATACATTAATGACTTATTACATACATTGGTGGTTTAACAAAAGCCTTCATTAGAAAGGTGAAGGAACATACAGTGAACATACAGATTAATGTAGGTGTTGAACAACAACAAACACGTAGTGTAGTAACTCCCTCTGAATGGTGTTAGGAGGGACCTGGCGTAGTGTAATTCCCTCTGAGTGTGGGTGTTATGAGGGCCTGACGTGGTGTAGTAATTCCTCACAGATGGTGTTATAGGGACCTCACGTGGTGTAGTAATTCCTCACAGTTGGTGTTATGCGGGGCCTCACGTGGTGTAGTAACCCTCACATGTTGAAGCCCTCTCGTGGTGTAGTAATTCCCTCCAGATGGTGTTATGAGGGACATCACATGGTGTAGTAGCTCCTCACAGATGGTGTGATGAGGACCTCACGTGGTGTAGTAATTCCCTCACAGTTGGTGTTATGCAGGGCCTCACGTGGTGTAGTAACTCCCTCACATATGGTGTTATGAGGGCCCTCTCGTGGTGTAGTAATTCCCTCACAGATGGTGTTATGGGGGACCTCGTGGTGTAGTAATTCCCTCACAGGTGTTATGCAGGGGCCTCACGTGGTGTAGTACTCCCTCACATATGGTGTTGAGGGCCTCTCGTGGTGTAGTAATTCCCTCACAGATGGTGTTATGAGGGACATCATGATGATGTGGTTCCTCACAGTTGGTGTTATGGGGCCTCTCGTGGTGTAGTAATTCCCTCAGATTGGTGTTATGCGGGCCTCTCGTGGTGTAGTAATTCCTCACAGATGGTGTTATGAGGACCTCGTGGTGTAGTAATTCCCTCACAGATGGTGTAATGAGGCTACGTGGTGTAGTAATTCCTCACAGATGGTGTTATGAGGGACATGTGGTGTAGTAGTTCCTCACAGATGGTACTCCTGTGTTCCCTCACAGATGGTGTTATGAGGGACATGTGGTGTAGTAGTTCCCT